TTGAAATATAATTATTATGTGTAATTTTGTACAATTAAAATTTTTCGATGTGCAAGACTTTTGTCCAGGTAGTGTATATAAGTTGATACAATATTGAATATCTCTACACACGAACAAAATGCTAAAAACTAGAGTCTTCTTATCTGATTCTCAAAAGCATGAACTCTGTTTATATGCTCGTCAAAACGATAAATTAACCAGGAAAGAATATATGCATTAGATCGTTATATTAGTTTAAAATAAGTGAGTGTAATGAAACAAACGACAATAGACAAGTTTTTTAATCAGCAGCAATAATATTTTACTATTACTTTATCGATTAAATAAATATCCGTTAAGTCACGTGCAACCAATAAAATGCTGACCCTCTATACATGCATCCCTCCATATAAGCACGCTCTGACCCATTCCCAAGGCTGTGCTTGATATACAACCAATAAAATTGTTGGTTGATTTGTGTAACCAAGTTGTTCTTACGAATAAAGGAAGTTGCAGTTTATATATGTCGGCCACCATATCTTGGTGGTATGAACGCATAAATTTTGTGCTTTGTATGCACTTTAATAATTGCTAAAGATAGTACTCTCGTTTGATGCATAAAAAAAAACGTGGCGTCGGATAACTTTCGTAAAGGTTGATAATGTATTGTCTCTTGCTTACCATATAATTACGCGTTGTGACAATACGTTAAATAATAACAAAATTCTTCGATTACAATATTCTAAATATTAGTTGCTGAGATGCTTTACTGCAAGACAATACAGAGTGGGCTTGCAGTCACTACTTTTCTGATCCGATCCTCTCCCAATCGTAGCATTATAAAATTATGGAACTGTTTTTGTTTTTTATACTGTGTGTTTTTTCTAGAAATATTTTTACAGTTCTATAAAAATAGAAAACTGGTTATTTTTCGGAAGAATAAAACTTTGTTCCATACAATTCGAGGGAGCGAAACCCACTTTAAATTGTTTTTTCTGTCAAACTTAAGGCTACTGCGACTAAACCCTAGACTTGGTGCGGAAATGTTGAAGAAACTATTAGAATTTCGGGCATATTTGAGCCGGAAAATACAGAAAATAAAAACCTTAATACACGGTTATATTCAGTAGTCGCTAGAGGTGATAATTATGTTGATATATTGATATGCGGGGCGTTACAATTATAAGAGACATTTGACCAGGGATCCATTAATAAGAGTGTTTTATGTATGTAACGGTTATGTCGGTATGTAAGGTATCTTCACAGTTCATTGCTTTGAGAAACAATCTAAGTTGTTACTACCACTTTCGCGTTCAGATATATGTCCAACGAGGTATTGTATATATCAGGCTTTTTTTGAAACAGAAAAAATAAATAAAACGTATTTGATAAGGGCTTAATTTAAGCATCTTTTTAACCTCGGCGAATTATCCCTCTTTTTTTACTTCAACTTCTTGTTCAATCTTTTCTTTGCTCTTCTCTTTCTGCAACCGTTCGATGCCATCCGTAATATCGTCTTCTGCGACAAAATAACTACTGGGATGTATATTTCCATGTCGGCATTTTTAAAGAAATCGTCGTCGGTATTGTTGGGCTCGTTAAGCGTTTTAAGAATAGTGGTACGTGTAATTGATTGTGCGTAGTTGCGGCTGGTAATGGTAGTAGTGGTAATGGTAGTGGTAATTGTAATGGTAATGTAAAGCAGTGGTAGTAGAAGTGTGAAGTGATGGTAATTATAACTTTTAAAGCGAAATTATTGTTTTCTGGTACTTGCTTTGTAATCATCGATTTGGTGTTTTGTCATTTCTTTTGAATTCTCTCTAGTCGAATTGACAGGAACCATTTATTTACCTGCAGCTTTATAGTGGTATAATTAGACGAATATTATTTCGAGCATTGAAAATTTCAATTCTAACATAAGCATAAGCGAATTGTTAACAACCTAAATCGAGGCACTGTTACAGTAATCAGCAGCACTGAATTTGAATATACTGGAATCTCTTTATATCGGACGGACTGATTCTTGCGCACCGTTCGTTTCATATGAAAATTCTTTGTTTATACCGGTTCCGGAAGGACAGAGAGCTATGCCAACCCGTCCGGTATAAACAGAGTTGACTATATATTAATATATTTATTTATTTAAAGAGAGTAAGACAATATTGAATAAAGCTTGCTTGTACTGTATTATGTGTATTAATATAAACTCTAATTGTTTGTTAAACTTCTATGATTGCACAAGATTCCCGGTTTATCATTGGCCGCAGTTGCCATAGCTATCAAAATAGTTCATGCGCGAGACGCAGAAATCGAAACATGGCTACTGTCGAGCAAACGAATACGCAGTCACAGGCGAAAGAGACGAATTCGGAGGCAGTTAAGGAAGGACTGGACGAGAAATGCTCAGAAGAGTTTAAGGAAAACGAGTGTAAAGAAGAGGGAGGAAACGAAGATCAGAAGAAAGAGTCCACAACAACTCCTGCTGATATTACACAGACAAAAGAAAATATACTTACGCAAGTGGAATATTATTTTGGCAACAAAAATCTCAGGACAGATACTTTCTTGAATCGAGAAATGAAAAAAGATCCAAACGGATGTATCCTTGATTTTACTATCAACGTCGTGATTCAACTTGTGAAATAGCATACGATTTTTTTCCTTAATTCTTTGATTTGCGTATCGTGTAGGGGTATCTCTCGATGTTTTGGCTACATTTAACAAAATGAAAGTTTACCCAGATAGAGATCTTGTGGTCGACGCCCTACGACAGTCTCCAGAGCTTTTGGAAGTCAATGAAGACGGAACCAAGGTACGAAATATGAATTACCAATGAGAGCGATGTCAACATAATTGTATATTATACGTGCTTCTCTTTTGTGATTAACCTGGTTGTCGTTTTGATTAATCTAGGTGCGTCGTAAACTTCCAACACTCCTGCCGATTCCTGAACAAGTAAAAAGAGGCCCAATGTTCAAGAGTATATATGCCGTTAGTATCAATTTCTCGCACAACAAATCCAATGATCGCATGACAGTTTATTAATATTTCCCATTCCAGAAAGGGTTTTCAACAGAGACTCCTGATGTAAAGGAAATAACAGCATTCTTTGAAAAGTACGGCAAAGTAAAATCAGTAAAATTAAGAAAAGATGAAAATGGAAAATTTAAGGTGGATACTTATCACTATCTGTGCTTGTATAAGGGATATGGCAGAATCTCAAGTAAACACGTTATTAGGGGTCTGTGTTTGTTGAGTTTCAAACAACCGATGAAGCAAGGAAAGCCTGTGCGATGCAACTGTCTTACGAGGATCAACCGCTTGCAATGATGCTCAAGTATGTTCATCATGTTTTCATAACTAAAGCTCATTTTCTACAATTTGATAATGTGCCTATTCTTGTTAGGTTTGATTATTGTGAAAATAAATGCATAGAAAAGGGTATAGATCCAAACACACTTAGGACTGATTTTGGGGCTTCAAAAGAAAGTAGAAAACCTGATAGGGGACAAGGTCGGAACGCGCGAAAACCGGAAAGGGATTACAGATGTCTTTTTAAAATTACTGGAGCAAAGCCAGACTCTGAATGGTCCCCTATAAGAGTATGTAGCAGGACATTGGGAAGCCGCGATTGTAATAAGCTTTGTTTATTATCAGAAACTCAAATAATGTCTTGTTTAGAGCGAGGCAGAAAAGTACGGTACTGTGTTTTGGGTTGAACTCTACGGAGACGGGACTGGATATATCGAGTATAAACAGCCATTAGATGAAGAGAAGAAAGAGGCTCTATTATCGAGTGATGTAGTGATTGATGGTGAAAAGCTAAGCTTCACTACAACTAGTCGTATGTATATCAACATATTTTCCGCTTTTAGCAGGCCAGGACAAATTTCCTATCAAAAGTTATGCTTCAAAATGTAAATCGTCTAATTGCGTATATACCCTATTATTGTACATAGCCGAAGAAGCAACGGAATATTTCACAAAAAAGAAAGAGACAAGTCAACGTCTTCGCGAACAAAAGAGGGCGGAGAACAAGCGTTCTGAAAGGCTAGATCGTCCTCCAGTCGTTGTTCCAGCATCCAAGAAAAGAAAAGTTGATACAAAATAAACGATAATGATAACAACTATTATAATGGGACAATAGTCGCTATAATTTCGAAGAGATATTTAATTCAGCATAAATCGAGATAAAAGCCTACACTTAAAAAAAATCAATAAAGAGCTTTGCAGATTTTCTTGAAAAGACTACGATAAAGCAAGGAACTCAGGCCGTCTAAATATCATGGGTTTATATTCTTTGGACGTTGAGTGATCTCCTTTCCATTGACATGAGATTCTGTATTGTCAATATTGAGCTGATCTGTTGTGTCTAGTCGCCTCTTTTGTAACAATTCTATTATAATATTTATAGACGCTCCAGATTACTTTTATTGAGACCGTTAATATTCGACGATTAGACTGAACAACCCTTTCAAGAATAGTCTAATGATGACTCCCACATTCAAATTCAATCATTTGACAAATTGAAAAGTGTGAAGCAAGAAAGTATAACACATGTGATCGACCTCAGTTATCAATTTGCATATATTGCATATTAATATATATTCTTTAACTTTGCAACCACCCCGTAGCTAGATCAGCACACAAACTTCAAATTTCAAATGAGTTCACACATGTGGCCTCAAATCAAAAACTTAAATAAAGAGATGTTTATATTTAAAGCACGCATTGTTATCGAGAAATGATCGGCAGATGATCAATAAAACAGTTTGTGATCTCCAATCCCGATACTACTTAAGTTAATGTAAATTATAATCATCTCTTATCTCTCTCTCTCTGATCCGTTTGTCAAATGCCAACTCCAAACATTGCAACAGTTCCCTTCAAATCAACAAAACGCATACAATTAATACCCCTTTTACGCGATTACATATCTTATTCTTATGGCGAACATCCGGACGCATATGTCGATGATTTCCGTATATTAGATGAATTGAGAAGTGACTGTGTTGCTCTAGAAGCTGACCGTAATGCGTTGAATAGGTTGCTGAAGTAAGTGTGGATCCGGAATAGTGTTGACTGGCGTGATTGAGCAATAAACACATAAGAATGTATTGCGAGTTTTTTAATGTATTAATGAACACATTGGATATTAGATACTACGGACAACTTGTTTTTATTGGAAGCAAGTTTCCAACAGATGTAAGTTGCTCAATACGAAGGATTATTAATGTATCATCAATGATTACTCATGAATAAGTAATATTATATAACAAAAGTCTATGATCATTAGGTAGGCATCGACTTCCCGTGGACGTCAGCATTTACACCCGATAAATCAGGTAATAATTCAAATATTTATATCCCACGTCTAGATAAAGTTCACGTTGATACTTAACAATCATCAAACTTTCGTTACTATTACACAATGTTTTTCTTTACGTCCCAACTCAAGTTGGTCAACGCAGTTTCCTCTACGAAAAAGCTTGCATTCTTTTTAATATTGGCGCAATGTATAGTCAGCTTGGCGTTGCCGAGAATCGCCTTTCCAACGAGGGTGTCAAACGCGCGTGTCGGTTGTTTCAAAGCGCTGCCGGATGCTTTACACATTTAAAAGATGTTGTAATCCCCGATATGAGAATTCCACCAACGCCAGATATGGAGAATTTGACTCTGGTTGTTTTGGCTAACGTAATGCTCGCTCAGGCGCAGGAATGTTATTGGCAGAAAGCCATACAAGGTTTGCGAAAACGACAAGAAGACAATGTAGACAACGGAATGTCGTTATTGTTGGTACAGATGTGATTTAATGTATTTCTATCTTTACCAAAACAATATATAGACAATTTGAAAGATGGAACAATTGCAAAACTAGCGGGCCACGTCTCTGATTTGTATAACACCGCGTATGAAGTCGCAAAGAATAACTCTGGTGTGGCTACGTTATTGGGGCAAGTATGTCTAGCCCGTTGCTCTATATTGTGGAGAACATGCAAGTTACGCGTAATGTCATTCGCCAACACGTTCATAACTAACGTTTCTGACTGCAATCAACATTGCTATATACATCTTCACTTTTGTTTCTCTTCCAACACTGTCAACAAAAAAGCCTCTTTTAAAACACATCCAAGCAAAGTCGTGGCACTTTGCTGCTGCCGCAGAGTTTAGAAAATCATGTGACTGTCTCGGTCAGAATCAATATGGAGAAGAGATATCGCGTTTGAATGCTGCCAAAGACTTTGTCAAGAAGGCTCTTGATCAGCAGAATCACTTACGGGAAAGTGTTGTTAAGGATTTGAGAGTAAGTTAGTCATGATGAAAGTTTCGGCGCGGAGTGTGCATTAGAAACAAGCCTATCGACGGGCTAAACTAAATCAAATCGTTTTTCTTCTTTCTCGAAGTCTCTCGAAGCAGCCATATCTCAAAACCTTGCTCGTGCCGAAAGAGACAACAATATTATCTATCTCCAACCAGTCCCTTCACCATCTGCCCTTCCTTCCATTGGTCGTGCGAAAATGGCCGTTTCCGAAACTCCAGCTGAGGTAAAAGACCCAATTTCTTTAATGGGCGAAAATTCTATCCTAGGGCTTCCTCTCTTTGCCCGATTGGTTCCATTTGCAGTTCATCAAGCGGAGAGCGTATATTCGGAAAGGAAACAGAATTATGTAAAGGAAGAGATTATCGCTAAATTCGAGGAATTGGATGAAATTTGTAAAAGGTGAGAAAACGAAAAGAGCAGCGCGAGCGAATGATCTTATCTAGACGTGTAATTTATTTCTGTCGTAATATTTTGTTCTATTCATAGCACTTTGCAGTCGCTGAATCTCCCTGGTGCCTTGGAAGTGGTAGAAAAACCGGAAGGATTACCGCCATCAATCAAGGAAAAGTCGTCAGAGATAAAACAAGAAGGTGGGATAGATCGTCTTTATGACGAAATATCTACTGTAGAAGAACTGTCTGAACAGGTTTCTTCTATACTGGAGGAGGTAACGGAAATCTTCATGGATAGAGTCTATCTGTTTACTATCTCTGATGACTTTAATTATTTATTATATCTATTACATTGCCGAGTTCATTGATACCATACATTTTATGTAGGCTTTAGGAATATTAGACCAAGAAGCTGCGGCTGATGATGAGTACCAAACCAAATATACGGACAAATGGCAACTTCCTTCCAGCCTATCAGTCAACACAAAGCTTATAAATCAAGGCGCTGTTCTTCGCGAGACACTGGATCAAGCACGGCGTGCTGATATCACATTAACGAAGAAGATTGGAGAGTGGGAAGACATTATAACTCTTTTATCTAGTGATGAGGTGTTTTACCATGAGTGCTTGTTGATAGTTTAGTGTGAAGTGTGATGATTCCATTTGAGAGGTCTAGAGTATTGACCAACGCGATTCGATTATAATTCGTTTGCAGACTGAACTTGAGAAAAGTATTCCATCGAGTAATCCAACTGGATCGAATAAAGACGAAGTATCGAACCAATTACGCGATCTCATTAATGAAACAGAAAAGATGATAAACGAACGAAAAGTTCACGCGCATGATGCTAAGAAGATGGCAGATCGCGATGACATTGGTAGGGATTAAACGGAGTTGGTAGTTGTAAGAGTTTGAGGAATATTTTGTCAAAGTAGAAGCGTGTTGTGATAATGTCACTTTTTTGCATAACTAGGTCCTATTTTGCGTCGGAAGGCGGCTGAAATCACATCAAACTCGATAGCGGTTCAGATTGAACCTGCAAGCTTTGAAGAATTATTCACAGTACAACTGAAGAAATACGACAAGTTTAAGCAAATAACTGCTACAGAAGAAAAGAAACAAGAAAAACTACTGAAGCGTATAAGAGTGTGTATAACATCTTATTGTATTATAATATTGTGTTTGTCGCATGTTATGTATCATACATATTGCTTGTTTGTAATTCTTTAACAAGCTCGATTCTACAATAGGAAGTTAACAATAAATTTGTTGAAACACGCCAACAACACAATGTTAATCTTGCGCGAGTGAGAAAAGTACAACATCTAGAAGCTGGATACAAAAGATTCTACGAAATACTGAAGAATTTACAAGAAGGCGCGAAGGTAAACAATTGGTGGTGAAGGGGGAAACCAGACATAGAAGAATTAATTTTACATGTACACCGTGACTAATCCAATGATTCTCTCAGTTTTACGAAGGATTTAAGAAACCATTGAGAGACTTTAAAGATGAATGTTCAAAATTTGCCAAAAGTCGAAAAGCGGCGGCGGATGAACAATTGGACATGCTGTAATTATTTCTAGTAATCCTGACATGGTTATTTTTCAGCTTGTTTCATGTCTTTTATTGACTCTTCTCTTTCTTTAAAGCCAACTTGCAACAACAATGTCATCAGTATCTGTCTCATCTATACCACCTAATGTGACTCCCGGAGAATGGCAATCAAGCATGGGTATTGCATTTAATGATAATACTGCTAATCAAGCCAAGCCTACGTCCGGTGGAGCCTGGACAGCAAGTCATGGGATTAAATTTGATAAAAGTGAATAACGTTAAGATGATTGGTTTAGGTACTGTTTTGTAGTTTTTGTAGTATAGAAGATTATTAAATAAACTTGTCATAATATTGACAAATGGATTTACAAATAATAATTTATATCATTCTAAGAAAATCGTTGTCTGAATGTTCAGTGCAATATAAATAGCCAACTGTCTGTGTTAGTAATCACCAGTTATGTTATGACTTGAAAAACTCAACAAATTAAAAGGTTTCTGTATTGCGAAAATTTGGGAAGATCCAAAAGATACTGCAAATGATACGATTCTTAATGGCATAACTTTAATTAAATAGAAGACGACAAATCGATTATGTCTGGGCTCCCCTATTGTATACCGGATGTGTAAGCAGAAGGTGAGATGTAAAAAATGACCGCATGAATCTATTCAACCATGAACCCCACTTAAAATCTTAGTTCATACTCGTAAATAAGTTTACGACGAGATCATTCAATTTTTTACTTTGTATTTGTATTTTGCTTATACTTTTATTTGTATCTTACATTATTACTTCTTTTGATCGCGTCTTGTATACTCAACCAATGGCTTCACAGGTGTAACAATTAATGTAGTAAAATCGACTTCAGGGAATTTGTTATTATGAAGTCGCAAATCAAACATTCGGACAAATGTTGCGAGGATAGTTTTAATTTGCACATACGCAAAGGACTCACCAATACACCGATGACGGCCTATTTAAAAAAAAAAAAAAGAATTGTTATGTTGTCATTATATGAGTCATGTGGATATGTAAATATACAACACCCCTCCAATTATGCCACTTACCAGCTCCAAAAGGTAAATAAGGCGACTTGGCAGATGAAGTATGAATAGCACCCCACCCATAATCAACCACATCATCATCCCGTTCCTTCTGTTGTTTATCGTATTCTTCCCATCGAAAAGGGCTAAACTTGTCGGCATTCTTAAAGTATCCATCATCTCTCTGCGAAATCATGGGCACAGCCTGCATATAGGCACCCTGAGGAATTACGTAATCTGTTCCCGGAATAGGCAAATCCCTAAGCACCTTCCTGATCATAGTCATGATTGGTGGTCTCAATCTCAACGTTTCGCGAACAACGTTATCCAATATAGGCATTTGCTTCAAAGAATCAAAAGTAACCTCTGCATCCAACGAACCCAAAACTCTGATCTGCTCCTCGCGAAGAACATCAAAGAGTTCCGGATTCTGAGCCAAGTAGATCAACGCCCACGCCGATGTCGTACTGCTTGTATGCTGTCCAGCTAACAAGAGTGCAATGAGGATATGCGCTGCTTCTTGATCAGACAATCGTCTCCCGTTCTTATATTCACAGTTATCCAACAGGTATTGCATAATGTCATGGGTGTCGGTGCGCTTGCTTTCCCGACGTTGTTGCATGATCGATAGGAAAAAGTTTCGCATTCTGATATGGGCTTTGTCGCGAAGCCTGTTGGCTGGTATGGGAAGATCATCGAAAATAAAGTTTATTGGAGCGAAACCACCGTCCAAATCGTGATATGTCTTGGCGACTGTGTTGAACGAAAAAAAAATAAAATTATTTTATAAATATAAAACGGTTTTCTTTGTACGTAAACATATTATATGTGTTAGCAAGGTGCGTACATGACTCGTCCATTCGAGATCTGACATCATCTCCCAACAAGCATCTTGATGCGGTCAGAATAACCAACTCGGACATGGCTTTGTGAATATCATCAACACCTTTGGGCTCGTTCCATCGCGCAAGGTATTCGACCGTTTCGTTGATTATCATCGGAACATATGCTCTCAGATTCTCCTGAGACAATCCGGCCTTTACAAATCTATAGAGAAGAAATCAGTAAAATAATAGTGTATTCAATTTATAGCGAATGCTATATCATGTCTCTTCACCTTTTCTGTTCCATGAGAACTGAATTATGTACATCATAAACTACGCCTGTACCGAATACTGGTACCGTGAGCCCCTTATATGCTTCTTCGGCTGATGCATCTGCTAGTCTTGCGTTGAATACAAAATTGTTTCCCTCTGCACCGAGACACGTGACCATTTTACGACCAACTAATGTAATAGAGAAGAAATTTCCGTACTACAGAAAGAGAATGCTAGAGAACGTTATTCGATAATCGATTGAAAGGTACTTGCTACAACACGTCCAAATAATGCTCAACCTTTTCCTGGCATTCTTGGTAGAATTTAATAGGATTGGTTCCAACACGAATAGCGGATCCAAGAAACGGAAGCCAATAAGGGACCATAGGCGGCTCATTTTTTCGTTTAGCATGCTGGAGAAATTGAAGACAATTCACGTCAAATATTTTTCCATATACAGCAGTTCGGTCCACTTTCTGGGGAGGGGGGCGTGCAATGCTCTCTTTATTTTTACTTTTAACATGTTGTGCACGAAGTTTTCTCTTTGGCGTCCAACTCATTGCGAATTGCTATAGATTCCTAGTCTGGGTGATAATTACAGTTTTCAATCGTTTTATCAAATTGTTGTCAAAACTTACCATTACATTTCTCCAGGAAACAACCACAATCAAAGCAGTTGCAATCAATCCAATCGTCATAAATAGTATATTCTCTTGCGAAGCTTCCTTCACGTACGGCACAAAAGCCTCATACACCACAATCCTATCTCTAACAGCCTCAGCATATGGGACTAGGTAGGAATTGTAAAAGCTCGACCATAACTTTACAGTTGCCATGATATCGAATGGGAGCGTATCAGATGTTTAGTTCTCCAACACAAAAATTCACATCAATTGTGTATGCGGGACAATTGTAAGGGGAGAGAAAATTCCCTGCTCACCTTTATTAGTTTAATCTCATGCTGGTATTGATGATCAATGTGATAAAAGTTTTTGTTGTGGTTGTCTCGTTATTAGTCACACCTGAGGGAACGTTACAAGTGTGATCAGTACGATAAATAAACGGGGAAACAATTTTTTTTAAAATGGAGCAGGTGTTACCATTATTAAGAATGTTCCCCAAACTTATCCCAAATTCGGTCAACTCCCCTGTCACTTCGACATTGTACGCTCAATTCTAGGACAGTCATTGGGTGAGCTGTTAGGGGAAGTATTCGATCGTTGCTCTTTCATAAGACAACCACATTGTCTAACATTAATATATAACCGAATTATTGGCGAGCCCTGTTCCCTTATTCGACTTTGAAGTTAGTTCGCAGGAACATATTTCTCATATCCTATTGTTTAAGAATGTAGCCAGAAAAGGTGTTGCATAAAAAGTTCCCTACATAAGAAATATTTAGGGTTTACGCCACAGATTGGGGTATCAAGTGAAATACTTGTCACATTTTGTACATGCAAAACGGAGCTGAGGAGACAACAACGATTAGTCGAATTAAAGTCTCAAAGGATTTATATTGTTAGAATGACTGTTTACTATTACCATTTATTTATTGTACTTTTTTACATGTCACCATACAAGACTGCTGGAATCGGCTATTACGTACCCTATGCTTTAAAGGCAGGTCGTCACTTGCACCGTACAACGACTGGCTCCATATGCAATGACAGATAGTTGACTGTTCTCATGCTATAAAATTCTACAAGGGGTACTCATCCTAACGGGACATTTCGGCTATGGAAACGGCTATACTCTCCATGCTTAAAGAGCATTGTGAAAAGAACGACAATCCAATAAAGATTGGGTGTTTAAGTTGCAGGACTTGGAATAATTCAGATGCAGGCTCTCTATTTGGTCTTGCTGAATCGGCACTTGGCTTACCGAAAATGACGAGTTTAAAAAATGTTTAGAACTTGCAAAACAATGGCGTGTCAGACTGTATTAACCGAAACTTACCAATCGTCCCTACTTGAGCTTTACGCCCTCGATTGGACACCTGATGAGTTGATGGCGTTGGCGGCTATTTGTACGTTTTAAATGTGTCAAGAGTATAATACAATAGAACGACAAATAAATAGTTGGCGGAGCTATTCTTTACTTATTATGAGTCTCCTTGAAAACAGCCAAACATTACTTAAAATGGATGATGTTCAGGCCTGTTATAATGGTTATCAGTGTGAAGTTCTTCACTCTTACTGGATTAAAACTGGGCACTCTAAGAAATGCTAACTCCCAGCTTAAACACATCACAATATAAATAAACTTGCTTGCTATTGCTGAGAATTCAGCAAGGCAACACACCAGGAGCATTGCTTTCCAACATTAATATTAAGGGTTTAAAGATTTAGATTACTGAGGATCTGTGCTATGAAGACCTTCAACATCATAACAGCTCCCTGTATAAATTAGAATCTATGATATGCACACTGTTTTACTACACTGGATACCTTACCAAGAACATGCATGGTGAGTTAGTATTAGTATTAGTAATTTCCAACAAAGAAGTAGCATGCCAGCAGCACAGTGGATTCTTCCATTATTGTTATGTAAAAACTTGGCATCTCAAAGATGTATGATGGTGAACTTAGACCTCCTACTCTATGCATTCCATATACACAGGGCTTTTGAACACCTTTATTTCATAATATAAATAGTAAGTATAAGAAAAAGGGTAAGAATTATCTTTATCTTGTGATTAAAGAAAACATCTCATACAGGGTGTGACAAAAAACTTAACTATTATAATAATAAATCTATCAAAACTGCACCAATTCTAATGATCAATACATTGTTGAAAGCCAAAAAGATATGAAACAAGTTTAAAAATTAATTTGCTCACCATTATTTTCGATAACTAGCTCACAATGGCATTGCATTGAATTTACTAAATTGTTTAAGATGGATTTTGTTACGGTCGGGAATTAAATTGGGGGTTTTGGGAGAGCGATTTATCTTTTCGTGTAGGTGTGTTCGCCGACCGGGGGATGTTACCAGGCTTAGCTCG